GAAAATAATCGTTTGGTACAGCACTAATTGACAAGTGGAGGTGGGGGTATTTTTTACTATTTACTAATTTAGTATAATTTACTATGGCTGAATGTGTACGCATACCGGTAAACTTCATTTCTGGGCATTTATGGTTTGATTTCTTTGTATGTATGGATCACTTGGGTTGTTACCGACATCTGGTGAAAATTTCATGTCATTAGCACCTCTAGTAATATATTTACTGAAAAAAATGGTGACGTGTTCAATACTTATTTTACCCGCTGTACCTTCAGTGTTAGATGAGAAGCCAATATTTTCCACTGATCTTTATGAAGTATCAGCCAGTCTCAGACCTCCCATCTCTCAAATTAAGGAAATGGAGTGGAAATGCACCTCTAATTTTGACTGTATCAAAGCCAAAACAATTTCATTTGGTACGTAAATGTATGTAAATTGGCCATGAGATTACAAAAATTACACAAGGGGCACCACCTGAAATATGGGGCCAAATTTAGGGCATGCTATCATGCTTTCTATCATGTGCAAACCTTGATTTTATCACCTAACATATTGCCTCTGTGTCTATCTTAGTTTTTATTTCTGTCACGCTTTAACATTTGCATTGGTATTTTACCTCTTTTACTTCAGTTCTCTGCAGTATTTCTCATCTTCCTTGTTTTCTTCAAGATCCTCGACGTCTTCCTCCACATGTCGAGAATTCACCCACAACACTTCTCAGAAAAACGTTGCCATTACTGTCCCAGAATTTTCACAACAAATTGCAAGTCTTAGCTTTCTTGACACAAAGCCGCCAGCGGAAGTAACTTGTCAAAATAAAAGCCAGAACTTGCAACTATTTAATGCGTTAACTTATGGCTTAGTGCTTTAGTCCCTAGGTAACACGTTGATTTAACTTGCCTCCTGCATCCTGCAATTTAACTACACTGCAAACATTATCCATCTAACCAACTCTTGCAATCGTATATCCAGCCCAAAAATAATTTAGATTTTCTTTTGAGACTGATTTAATAAACCTGAGCAGAATGTGTAAGATTATTAATCTCGTTAGCCTGGAAKTTTGACTCAAATTAAGTGAAACAATCTGTTGATGGATAAGACAACTGCAAATTGAGATCACTTAATTTGACTCAAATTTTCCTTATTTTAAGTTAAGGTTTAGTAAATCAGTCTTAAAACAAGATCAAAAATATTTTTAGCTAGATATAAGATTATAAGACTTATGTACTGTACATTGCCATTACGATGCTCAAACAATATATTGTGTAGCTGAAGCCAGGCTCACAAGAGAGATGTTTTGGTCACATAAATGAAGGTATGAWTTAGAGGGAAACTAACTGGACTTAATGCTGCGCTGTAGGTTTTAGACAGCTGTAATCTGAGATCGCCTCCTCTGTTCTTTCTTGTTTTACATAAATAACTTCTCTTAAACCATCGGTCTTTTCTGTCCAAATTATGAACATTTTGGTCCTGAAAAGAGTGTCTTGTCCTTGAGGTGTAGCTGGACAGCTGAGTTTTCTCCAACATGGCGTCATTTATCCGTGGAGAGGTCTGAACCCAACACACAGTTCAGTTTGTGTTTGGGGGGTTTTGTCRTTTGMGGATTTATGGGTGATATGCATTCCTCTGAGGAAAGCTTGGCCTTTAATTTGACGGTGTGCTCCATAAGTAGCTTAAAATAATGAGCCTCTGTTTGACCCAGGAATGTTTCAGGTCCCCTTGTGTGCTGAACCTTAAAAAAAAAAAAAGGTCCTCGTCTAAAGTGTCAGCTCCGTCTCTGGAAAGACTCAGTCCGAGCAGTTTTTTCTGCTCCGGCTCAGCACTTGTCAGCACCGACAGAGTCCGTGCTGACAACCCAAATCCCGTTTGTGTAAAAAAAAAAAAAGGTTAAATGGAGAGCAGAGCAGCCGCGGCCATCGAGCACAGCCTCGATTTTGCTGCGGTAATTGAAAAGGAATGTTGGGTGGTTGAGGGCAAACAAATGCCTTGGTGTCCAGACGTGTACTTTTAAATCTATAATTTGTTTTTTTGTTTGTGTTCAGTTCCCGTACGCGGCTCCTCCACCTCAGGAACCAGTGAAGACGCTGCGAAGCCTTATAAACATTCGAAAGGACACCCTGCGGCTCGTCAGGTGCGCACCWCTCCCCACCGGACCCAACGTGTCATTAAACTGTTGAAGTTTAAGCCATCTGAGCTATTTTGAGGGCAAAGCCTATTTTAAGAGACCATGTCAAACCTTTCTGGGCTTTATTTTTGGATGTTACACACACCAATTCAGTCATGTACTCAACCTGGAATAAAAACACACCTGTTTTTTTTTAAATGAAAACACAACCCAAACTTTAAATAAAAGGAATCTTTGAAGCAACTTTTTTCAGATGTTGATGCTGGATAGTAAACGCAGTTTGTTTCTTTTCGGCACACCTTTTCTCCAGGTGCAGCGAGGACCTGAAGCTMCCGGGCGATGAGGTGGCGGGGAAGAACCGGGCCTGCTACAACGTAGAGTTCACCTTTGATGCCGACACACAGGTGGCCATCACCATTTACTACCAGGCTATAGAGGAGTTTCACAACGGTGTGCCAGTGTAAGTCCAAATGTGTGCTTTTTATTTCGATTAGTTTTACCTAAATGATAACGCCAACCTGAAGGCAGGTTGGCGTTCCTGGATTGCGATGTCTCTGTTTCGGATGGAGGACGGTTGGAAACTGGCATGTATCGTAAGCCCACCCA